CAGCAGAACGAAACACTGCCCTATCCCACGCCAGCCCTACAATCCCTGCTATACTTGAGCCCATCATTGCAGCCACCGTATCAATCCATCTCGTTGAAGGCCTCCCCTTCTTTCGTTGACCTTCCACCCTACCAAGCATGACATCCTTCTCCAGGGAATGGTCCCTTCTGACAACATGACCAAAACAGGTGAGACGAAGTCTGGCCATTCTTGCTTCCAAGGAGCATTCTGGCTGCACTTCCTCCAGGACAGATCTGTTAGTTCTTTTAGCAGTCCATGGTAATTTCAGCATTCTTCGCCAGCACCACAACTCAAAAGCATCAACTCTTCTTCGGTCTTCCTTATTCATTGTCCAGCTCTCACATGCATACGAGGTGTTTGGAAATATCATGGCTTGTGTCAGGCAAACCTTAGTCCTCAAGGAGATATCCTTGCTCCTCAGCACTTGAAACAGTTCCTTCGCAGTTGACTTTCCCAATGCTACACGTCATCTAATGTCCTGACTGCTGCTTCCATTGGCATCGATTGTAGAACCAAGCAACGTGAATTCCTTGACAACCTCAATCTTCTCTCCATTTATTGTGATGCTGCTCATTGGTCCAGTTGTGAGGATTTTTGTTTTCTTTATATTGAGACATAATCCATACTGCAGACTGTATTCTTCAACCTTCATCAGTATGTGCCTTAAGTCATCCTCACTTTCAGCAAGCAAAGTTGTATCATCAGGATATGACAGAAAAGAAAATTGAACTAGAAGTAAGGAGATCAAACCTCTATTACACCAACTCCATATGTGACCTGGTTAAATTAGTTAACCTTCTGGCTTTCATACTGTCATGTGTAAACTGAGTCAGAGCAGATGGCTTTATAATTCTCATCTGTTGTCACAAATATATACCATTTCACTGTATCATCATTTCATAAATTTAAGGAAACTTTCTCTAAACAAGTAAAAGAATTTAAGCTCAACAGGAATATATGGCTGTTTTTTAACTTTTAGTTCCTTACAAACAGACATTATTCTATCAGAAAAACAACTTGGATTTTAAAATAGCTAACAGTTATTGGAAGGAGCGCTAGTGTTACAGTGCTTAAATCTTTGGTTGCTAAATGAAAGGTCGCTGGTTTGAACCCACCAGCTATTCCAGGAGAAAGATCAGGCAGTCTGCTTCCATGAAGATTTCAGCCCTGTAAACCCTATGGGGTAGTTCTACTCTGTCCTATAAGGTCACTATGAGTCAGAATTGACTCAATGATTATGACTAACATTTACTGGAGACTTATTATGTGTGTCAGAGTCTGTGCTAAATTCTTTACATGCACCAATTCATTTAATCCTCGCCATATGCCTATGAGAGGTATTCCTGTCCCCAGGTACAGACAGGCATAGTGAGGTTAGCTTGCCCAAGGTCACAAAGCTAGTAAATGGCAGATATGGGACTAAAACCAGGACTGACTCAAAAGCCTATGCTTCTACCAACACATCTGTGGTGACCCAATTTTGGACAAGGGTGCTAAGTCCATTCAATGGGGAAAGAAGAGTCTCTCCAATAAACAGTGCTGGGAAAACTGGAGTTCCACACGCAAAAAAAGGAAACAGGATCCTTGCCTCACACCATACTAAAAACAAATTCAAAACAGATTAAGGACGTAAAAGTGCAAATTAAAACCATAAAATTCTTAAAATAACAAGCAGAGATAAGCCTGAAAGGGCTAGGTTTCAAGAATGATTATCTAATACAATGAAAAAAGTTCAAACAGCAAAAGAAAAAATAAATAAATGGAACTTCACAAAAATGTAAAACTTTCGTTCATCAAAAGACTTCACCAAAAATGTGAAAAGACAAGCTACTGACTGGGAGACATCTTCTGACCAAAATACATGTAAAAGTTCAACAACTTAGCAATAGAAAGATAAATAACCCAAATGTAAAATGGTCAAAAGATTTGAATAGACATAGCACCAAGGAGGACATTCAAAGAGCCACCAAACACATGAAGAGATACTGTCATTAGCCATCAAATCAAAAAACCCTTTGCCATCAAGTTGATTCCTATCACAGCAGCCCTTACTTAACTTACTCACTGATGTTGAGTCAGATCCGACTCATAGCAACCCCTCCTTGGGTTTCCGAGGTAGTATCACTACGAAAGTAGATTGCCCAACCTTCCTTCCAAAGAGTGGCTGGTGGGTTTGAACCACCAGCCATCTGGTCAGCAGTCAAATGCCTTAGGTTCTATGCCACCAGAGCTTCCTTCCATAGGACAGGATAAAACTGCCTCAAGGGTTTCAAGGCCGTAAAGCTTCACAGAAGCAGACAGCCATATATTTCTCCTGTGATACAGCTGGTAGGTTTGAACCACTAACCTTTCTGTTAACAGCTGAGTGCTTTAACCAGTGTGCTACCAGGGCACCTGTATAATCAAAACCATAATGAGATACCATTTCAATTCAAGAACAAAATGACAAAATAAATGAAAAATTAGAAATGATATAAAATCTACACACAGAAATCCAGAATATTAATGCTAAATTTTCAGAAATAGATAAGACATTAAATGGGCAAAGAAGCAGAATTGAATTAATGGAAGACAGAATTAGGGAGATTGAAGGCAAATACCTGAACACTTCTTTGGCAAGGGATAAATCAGAAAAAAGAGCAAACCAAAATGCTTTTAACCAAACTGCTATACTACCTCCTAAAAGGTAAATCAGGGGCCAAATACACAGGCAGTCCCCAGGTTACCACAAATTCTGTTCTTAACTGTATCTTTAACAATTTGTCAGGGCTTCAAACCAGCTCTTCTGGTTGAGTCATGGCTGAGGAACCATCACCAGAACAGAACCTAACTTTTAAGGGCTACAGTGAATCAGAAAGATAGCTGGAACAGAAAAATGACTGGTCAAAGCCTGCTAGAAACAGAAGAGGGGCGGCATACATATTGCATAGCAACCAAATCTCTTGTCCTCAGCACAATCCAAAGCAACACTGCCCAGCTCAAAGATGGTGGTACTCCCCTCAAACATGACAGTGCTTAACTCAAAGATGGCAGCCGACCACACCACTGTGCATGTGTGTCACTGTTCTCCAATAATTCAATCTCTGAAAGGGCTCACTATGCCTCTTCTGAGTCTCACATTTCTGGGCTTCAACCCATAATTTTTCCCATTCTGGGTACTGTGCCAAATTGTAAAACTTTGGGTCTATTCCTGTTTTGCTTCGTTGATCATGACAGAACTGGTATAAAGGGCAAATAGGAGTTGTCCCTAAATCAGATATTAGTAACTGGGGGACTCCTTGTATTCTTAATTTATTCACTATGTAATGACAGTAGAGAGAAAACAGCAATGACTGGAAATCAACCAAGAACCAACTTCAAATTCCTCATGTGGACACAGAATACTATTTAAAGTGTGACTTTCTTAAAAAGCAGTACTGTGTTTTGGTGATAAGCAGCATTTCCTTTGACTGAAACAAGAGCGCGATAGTCCCTAACTGGAAAGACAAGCAAGGATCTTAACGGCTGGTATTTTTATTCATTTTCAGCATTTTGTTGTTTGCTGCCATGCAGTTGATTCCAACTCATGGCAACTCATGTGCAGAATAAAATGCTCCACAGGATCTTGAAGGCTGTGACCTTTCGGAAATAGATCACTAGGCCTGTCTCTGAGGTTCCTCTGGGTGGGTTTGAACTCCCAACCTTCCAGCTAGTCATTGAGTGCTGAACTGTTCGCATCACCCAGGGACTCTAGTCCCTGTTTTAGGCCACCCAAAAACCTCAACACAATCACAGGGAGGAAGGGGGCTCTTCCCAGCATATCTGCATTGGCCCCTGGTCTCCCCACTCTTTCAAGTTCATTGCATAACTCTAAGAAGTACCAGCAAAAATCTTCAGAGGCTGAATCCTAGTAACAGAGACTCTTGCTTCATGCTAGGCCATTTCCACAAGTGTGCCTGCTTACTGGTGGGACTACTTAGTTCCATATTTGTCATTTCAGTGACGTTCCCCTAGATGGTTATATGGCATTTTAAGGAGGATGAACAAGGTCATGTGATACCTACTCTAAGTTACTTCCACTCCTCCTGAGAGCCCAAAAAGGAGTCCTGGTGGTACAATGGTTAAATGCTTGGCTGCAAACCTAAAGGTTGGTGGTTTGAACCCACTCAGCGGCTCAAGAGGAGAAAGACCTTGTGATCTACTCCCACAAAGACTGCAGCCTAGGAAACCTCATGAGGGAGTTCCCTGTCACCAGGCGTCGCTGAGTCAAAATCAAATTGATGGCATCTAACAGCACCACCAGAGCCCAAAGTGAGGCTTTCCTGATGTGTCCTCAAAGTACAAGGTGACTCTTTCAAAAAAGCTCTCAGAAAGAAAAACTTTCTCTCAGATGACTTCAAGCCTAGAAAAAGCCATTTCTGATATATATGGGGGGAAAAAAACCCAAAAACCAAATCCACTGCTGTCAAGTCAATTTGGATTCATAGTGACCCTATAGGACATAGAGGAACTGCCCCATAGGGCTTCCAAAGTTGTAAATCTTTATGGAAGCCTGCCTCATCTTTCTCTCACACAGCAGCTGGTGAACTTGAACTACCAACCTCTTGGACAGCGGCGGAGCACTTTTAATCACTGCGCCACCAGATCCCCTTAAACTATGCAAAGTGGGGATATTATACAGAGGAGAGTAAACTTGGGTTGGAAAAATAAAGGCACAAAAAAAGCCATCCAAAAGGGCAGCCATTTGGGTGAGAATGAGTTTTAGCACAATATTTCAATCTCTTTATTCCTCCTATAAAGCAGTGAATGAGCTTCTCTAAAACATAGTCTTCTCCAACTAGACATTTTGGTTTCAGGTATCATCTAACCCTCGGACCTTTTTCTATCTCAAGTCCGGGCAGTGCTCTCAGAAAGCTGACAAAAATGAGATGCTCTGCCCACCTGCCTCACAGCTGGTCTGTTTCTCATTCACACGCAGGACAAACCAGTCAGAGAATTACCCTTCTTTGAGCCAACTCTGGATGAAGCACTGAAGAACTTCTTCACAGTGGTAACTTTGCGGGTCTTCTCATTGGTTTTCTTTTCTTCAAACTTGGAAAATGTGAGAGACTGGGCCCCCTGGCTGCTCTGACTGCTGGCAAAGGCCTCTTCCTCTTCCCGCTGAAGTCTGTAATTCAAGAGAAGATTAAGAATGAGCTGATATTTTCCAAGTTTTTCTTATATCTAAAGGTTATTACTGAATGGATTGAGGGGTCTCTAAAAATTTTAGAACTAGAAGCTAAATACACCAAATAGTCTGAGGTCTCTGATGGGCAGCTACAGTATGAAACTGTCCTATGTGCCACTACAGACTTCAAAGGGACATTATGCAGGAGTCATGTACTCTACTAGGATTACATGGAAGAAAGAAGGCCCAGTCTTTTCCCCTGACAAGCTGAAGGTTGGAACAGAGAAAGAGCTATGTAAATAGTTACTGTACACTGCTACAGTTTCTTCATGACAAGGGTAAAAAACAAGTTTATAAAGACACAGGAGAAAGCAGCTCAATCTGCTGGAGAAGTCTGAGAACATCTACAACAGTGACACATGGGCTATGTCCAAGGAGCCCTGGCAGTGCAAGAGTTAAGTGCTTTGGTGCTAACCACAAGGTTGGTGATTTGAAGTCACCCACTGCCTCCACAGGAGAAAGAGCTGGCAATCTGCTCCCGTGAAGATTACAGCTGAGAAAATCATCTGGAGCTCTTCACTTCTACTCTGTCACACAGGGTCACTGTGAGTTGAAACCAACTCGACGGCACACAAGTTAAACCAAGTGAAAATGGAAGCACAGATGTGAAGGCTTGAAGTTTGCTGTGGAGTAAGTTCCATGTAGCCCGAGCACTAACGGTGTGATGGGGCAATGATGCTGGATACACAGAAGGCAACAGAGGTAAGCCACCTTGACTGCGAAGCCCACTATGGTTCTGGATCTCAGCATGTGGCAGTGGGCAACCAAAAAATTTTAAATCCAAGAAGTTATCATGATCAGATCTGTGCTTTAGAAAGACAATACAGGCAGGCGTATGAACAACTTGAAGGGGAGAAAGACTACAAACAAGATAATAATTAGTCTATTATAAAGGCTTGTCATTTATTGTTAGGTGCCACTAAATCGATTTTCAGTTCATGGTGACCCCATATGACAGGGTAGGAATGACCTCAGGTGGCTGATGGGTTCCAATTACAGACTTTTTGGTTAGCAGCCGAATGCCTTAACCACTGCAGCAACAGCCCTCCTTATCTATGTTGCTGCTGTTGTTGTTTTTGTTATGTGCCATCGAGTCAGACCCAACTTATAGTGACCTCTCCTTAGGTTTCCGAGGCAGTATCACTACGGAAGTAGATTGCCCAACCTTCCTTCCAAGGAGTGGCTAAGGAACAGTGGTTTTCAAAGCGTGATCCTCCAACCAGCAGCATGCACATGGCTGGGAACTTGTTAGAGATGCAAATTCTCAGGCTCCACCGAGAGCCACTGAATCAGAGACTCCAGGCAATGCTGATGCTAATTCAAAGGTGGGAAATATGGCTGTGGGTAATCTCAGACAAGGTCACAATGGGAAGCAGAAAGAAACACAAACAAGATCACAGGTGAAGGGGTTAACTTAGAACAGAACAGGGGCACATCTTTCCCGGAGAAAGAATTAAAGTTAGTATAAAAGTATTAGTACATTTTGATGTGTGTGTGTGTGGGGAGCTGAGGGAGTTCATACCTAGTGGGGCCTACCTCTTTACGGAAAGGATCAGCTGCTGAGACTATTAGGAGTGCAGTGTGGAGCCTGAGCAGTTAATGGTCTGTGTCTTTAGCTTTTCTCTTTGATTGGCTGCTGTTGTTGCTGGCTATCACCAAGATGGACTACCAACTTATGGTGACTGTTTTGGGTACCTAGTGCCACTCTAACAGAAAATACCACAAACGGGGTGGCTTTAACAAACTGGAGTTTATTCTCTTACAATTTTGGAGGCTAAAAGTCTGAGTTCCAAGTGCCACGCTCTAGGAGCTGGGGGAAAGCCCCTTGATGTTGGGCTTCAGCTCTGCCTCCTCCTCCTGACCCACTGAAGCTGGAGGCTTTTCTTTACTCAGGCAGCTTCTAGCTGCTGAGGCTGACAAACTCAAGGTTGGTAAGTAAAAACCTGGTCCCAATGTTACCAAACAACACAGCAGGCCACTAATTCAAGTCCATAAAAAGTCCCAAGACCGGCAGGGCGTGGCAGGATGTTGAACGACTTGCCTGCATGCAGGGTTCAGGCATGCTAAAAAAGCTAGAGACCTTCCTCCAAGCTGCTTCTTATATACTGGAAGCAGACCACATCTCTAAAGCAGCTATTCAGCTGCTCCAGTAGATTCCACCATGGAAATGATTGCCAATCTCACCATGGGGAATAACTACATCCAGCTGCCCAGCCACTCAACCAGGCCCAGCCAAGGTGACAACCACCTTACCCACCACAGTGACCCACACCCAATGGTCCCAAGCCATCCCCTGATCAGCTGCAGATCACACCATACTGACTCATGGGCTTCCGTTGGCTGATTTTTGGAAGGAGCTCATCAGGCCTTTCTTCCCACTGTCTCAGTGTGGATACTCCACTGAGACCATTCAGCATCACAACACACAAGCCTCCACTGACAGGTGGTGCAATGGCCGGGAAGGAAACTGGGTTTCCCTCACAGAAGATGGAAATTCTACCAGTGAACCACCATTTCTCCCTAACAGACTAACTGAAAGACTTGTCAATACTGGCTGAATGGATTTAAAAAAAACCTAGTAAAAATGGTTTCTATCTTTCTGTTGAGACTGTTTTGGTTTCTAGGATGTTTTGGCAAAAGTTAACATCATCCATGACATTGTATTATCTCCAAGCTTACCAATCATTACAACTTTTAATTTTTATCACTGACACATTTCTGGATAATGCGAACTACCTTTGACTGACAAAATCCATTTTTAAGGAAAAGTTAAATTCCTATAATGTCAGGACTATGTATACAAACCAACAGGTATCCACTAGACATCTATTATGTGTTCATCACTGTGCCAGGTACCATGCTGGATACACTAAAAGAAGGAGGGAAATGACTGCTTGATGAGAGCCATGGGCCACGCCCTGGGCCAGGTGTGTCATACACATGATCTCATCCATCCTTCACCATGAAGTCCACTTGTCTCCATTCTTGGACTCCAAGGATCATATCACCCAAGTTAGAGAACTAAGATTAACATATCCCAAACACAAATAATTAGAAGTTAACAAACCCAAAATGAAGGTCTCATTGAGTTATTCATTAACTATTGAGTGAGGAAAGGGATTTCTTTCTCTAAATATTAAGCAAAAGACCTCTTTAAAGTGTTAAAAAAACAAAGACATCACTTTGAGGACTAAGGTGCACCTGACCCAAGCCATGGTATTTTCAATTGCTTCAAGGCATGTGAAAGCTGAACAATGAAGAAGGAAGACCGGAGAACTGATGCCTTCAGACTATGGTGCTGGTGAAGGACCCTGAACATAACTACCGACTGCCCGAAGAAGGAACACTTAGCCTTGGAGGAAGCACAGCCAGAACGCTCCTCAGAAGTGAGGCTGGTGAGACTTTGTCTCAGGTACTTTGGGCATATTATGAGGAGGGACCAGTCCCGAGAGAGGGATATCATGCTTAGTAAAGGGGAGGGTCAGTGAAAAAGAGGAGGACCCTCAATGAGATGGACTGACGCAGTATGTGCAACAATGGGCTCAAACACAGCAACAACAGCAAGGATTGCACAATAGGCAGCATTTGGTTCTGCTGTACACAGGTCGTCATGAGTTGGAACCGACCTGATGTCACCTAATACTAACAGCAATTATGCTGACTCATCATAACTCAGAAGAGAAAATTACATATCGACAAAGACATGACTGTGTACCCAGTAAGTCACTCTTAAGCCACCCCTAGTTATGTCCGTTTACCGCTCTGCCAGTTCCCAGTCCTCCTGAATCTGCTTCTGCCTGGCTTTGTGGTACTCCTCCCTCCAGCACTTGGAGCAGAAGCCCTGCCAAGCAGAGTTGCCGTAGTAACCACATCCTTTCTTGCACAGGAGCTCCGACTGATCCACATGAATTCCTCGGCGTTCAGACTTCAGGCTCATCTTCTCCCTGCTGACCAAGATGCAGACAAGGAAATGTGGTTGAGAATGAATTCAGGTCATTCTACAGCTGAACAATCACAAACAAAAAAATAAGTGAATTCATGAAGCTGTAAGTTATAAAGAACACAAAAAACAAACAAAGATAGAAGGACAGGAGAAGGGAAAGAGAACAAGAGAAAGGTTTAAATACGGCCAGTTCCTGATTGAGTCATTCTAAAGAAAAGACGGCTCGTTCCCTGCTGGGTAACATAAAGAACACTCCAAGAAAGGACTAACAGAGCCTTCTTAGTTGCTATCACAAAGTTCTACTTTTTAACCCAACGGACAAAGTGTAATCTTCTTTTAATACTCATCTTAGTACAGTATGCTATTTGGCTCAAAAAGACAACTTGATTTCAATGATATGAAGGTGAATACTTTGTTTTGACAGAAATAACATCTACCAAGACACTGAGTAAAGCGTCAGAAGAGAGGCTTGCCCAGGCCTTGGCATGATGTTCAAGGTCCTCAGCAACCCAGGACAAAGCACACGAGCCTATTATCTGCCACCACTCACACACGCCTGGCATCGTGACAGATGCTTAATTATTTAATTGCACAAAAACTGAGGTAAACATAATTTCCATTTATTATATGGGAAAACTCAAGTTCAGAGGAGTTTTTTGAAAGTATACAGACTCTAGTAATAAGCAAGCTTCAGAGAAGAGGTCCAGGACCTGGCAAGAGCCCCAAATTCTCGTGCCACACTGCCTCCAATCTACCGGTCCTGACACCCATTCCTGGGCAAAGGAAATTTCAGTTGCATCACCACTTCCACACAAGTCAAGCATTTTCATGCCTCAGCCTCGAATTCTTTCCTGTACTTTTTTCCTGCTTTTTTCAAAAATGATTCACTCTTCAAAGATCACTCTATGCTTCAAGAAGGGTTCCAGAAGCTCCGTCCTTCCTGATTTGCCTCTGTGGCTCTGTTCTCCTGACACTGCTTATTTGTGAGCCATTCGCTTTGTCCTGTTTGTACAAAGGACTGATCCTGAGGAGCTGAAGCTCCCATGGAGCAGAGGTGCTCCAACACGACTTGAATCGCATACAGAGGCAAGGCTGTTTGGTACTCATTTCATTTGCTTAAGATTCCCTGTAAGATTTGATACAAATCTGAGGACTCATGCAAAGTATAAAGTTATAAAGGTGTTTAGACAATAAGGGGAAACTTATCAAAATGTGTTGAGTTGAATATGAAACCAGAGAAACTTTCAGCCCTAACTTTCCTTTTAGGACTATCAGCAACATAATTTGGATTTTCTGCACAGCACAACTGAAGGCAGGGAGTTTACTGTAATCATAGCGGTGATATGGTGGGAGTGGAAAGAGGAGGGATGGCGACCGATTTCGGAGGCAGGAACTGGGGGAGTTAAGAACTAATGAGACAGGGCAGGGAGGGCGAACTCTAATTAGAAAGAACTTTCAAGTTTGCAAATACAAGTATTCTTTAGTGCCTTTAAACCCGCTGCCATCAAGTGGATCCTGACTCATAGTGATCCTAGAGGACAGAGTAGAACTGCCCCATAGGGTTCCCAAGGCTGTTGATCTTAGCAGAAGCAGATTGCCTCCTCTTTCTCCCACAGAGCAGCTGGTAAGTTCAAACCACTGACCCTGTGGTTTGCAGCCAAGTACCTCCAAAGATGGAATTTAGATGTAACACATCAGCCATTTCTAAGTGGTAGCTGCACTTGAGGTGCAAAGGAAGAAAGACAAACTAACTCTAGTCAGAAGGCTAGAGTCCTAGAATGTTAAACCAAAGACACTTTCAAGTTCATGTAGATGAAGACACTGAGACCGAGAAGTTAGGATCTGTTCAATAGAAAAGGTAGTCAATGGCAGACACATCACTACAGCCAACATCTACTACATCCTGGGTTAATATTCCATCAAACCATTTTGAGTCTGAGTTGATCGTGTGGTCGGTCCCTTGCTTTCAAGAAAACAAAAAAGAGCTTTCTTTCCACATATCAATTAAGTTTTTAAAATTTGACATAAAGATACTACAGCATAGGTCTATGTTACTACAATGGACACATTTTAGGAAGTCTGGTTGGCCCATGTGCCAAAAGCCCCCTTTCTGTTGGGGAATTGTTCCCCCAATTCCCAAAGGTAGGCTGTGAGCACCTATGCTTGTAGAAGGTGAGCTCACGCCCTTTCATGGCTGCAGCTGACTAAACCAGAAATGGGCAGCTGGCCCAAATTGGGTCAGAGTCTCTTACTTGGAGTTCTAGAAATAGGACTATGTCTCGGCTGTCCTTGAATGAGGATGGAGGAGTTGTGGGATGGCCATCTTCCATCAAGGATGTGAGTTTCAGGATAGCCAGTTTATAGAGTGAAAGAGACACACACTAAGAAGCAAAGAGGCAGAGGGAAACACTTTCTAGGTCCTCATGACTTCCCATGTTCCAGTTCCAATTCCTTGCTAAAGATATAGCTTTTTTCTTTTTTCTTAAACTACTTCCACCATATAAGATACAACTATTGGTCTCTTCCTGTCTGGGGCAAAAGAGAATGAAGGAAACCACAGATTCAAAGAAGAAACTAGTCCACAGGATGAACAGCCCACATGAAATACAGCTTCTTCTAACCTGAGACCAGAAGAACTAGATGGTGCCCTGCTACCACAACCGCCCATTCTGACCTGAGTCATTATAGAAAGTCCTGGATAGAAGAGAGAAAAATATAGAAAACTCAAAATTCAAAAAAAGACCAGATTTACTTAACTGGTCTAGAGACTAGAAGAATCCCCAAGACTACTGCTCTAAGATACCCTTTTAAATTGGAACTGAAGCCACTCCTGGAAGTCTCCTTTCAGTCAAATAATATGTAGACTTCTAAAATAAACAGTATCATCTGAGAAGAATATGTTCCCTTAAACAATCAAATATACAAGACCAGGTCAACCTTAACCCAATAGCAAAGATAAAAAGGCAAGAAGGAGCAGGGAAGCCAGATAAATGGAAACAGAACAAACAAAATGTAAATCATGAGAAAGCTGACATATCACAAAAATTATAACCAATGTCATAGAAAAATATGTGAAAAAAATTATTAAACAGGAATTTAATTTGTTGTACAAATTTTTACCTAAAACACACTTAAAAAAAAAAAAAAACACCTATTTCCAGTAGAGTCTGTTATCTGGACTCAAAGACTTTTACTGGTACTGTTCTAGAGCTGGAGAACTTTAACAGGCCTACTGTGAAAATGACTTAGTGTATTCTAAGAGCTGAACATGTATTAGAATAAGAACAAAAACAACAGATGGAAGGAGCACAAAGGATATTTAAAGAAATAACTTCCTGAATTTAATGAAAAACATCAATCTACACATCTGAGAAGCTCAATAAACTCTAACTAGGTAAACTCAAAGAGATCCACACCACGTTACTTTATAAGCAAACTGTCCAAAGACCAAAAGATCTCGAAAGCAGTAACAGAGCAGCTGCTAGTCACCTACAAGGGATCATTAGTAAAATGAACAGCCAATCTTTCATCTGAAACCATGGAGGCCAGAAGACAATGGGATGAGGTCTTTAAAGCAAAAAAAAAATTAATAAATAAATCGGATTTCATCAAAATTAAAAACTTTTGGGCATCAAAGGACTTTAGCAACAAAGTGAAGTGACAGCTTACAGAATGTGAGAAAATATTTGGAAATCATGTATCTGATAAAGGTTTAATATCCAGAATATATAAAGGAACTCTACAACTCAGTAAGAAAAAGACAAATAACCAAAAAATGGGCAAAGGATTTGGATAGACATTTGTCCAAAGAAGATACACAAATGGCCATGAAAAGATGTTCAACTGTCACTAATCATTCCCAAACCAAAAACTCACAGTTGTTGAGTTGATTCCAATTCATACTGACCCTACAGGACAGAGTGGAATTGCCTCCTAGGGTTTCTGCAGCTGAAAAGTCTATATGGAAGCAGACTGCCACATCTTTCTCCCACAGAACGACTAGTGGTTTTAAACTGCCAAGCTTACAGCTGGCAGCTGAGCCCTTTAACCACTGTGCTACAAGGGTTCCTCATGAAAATCAAAACCACAATGAGATATTATTTCACATCCACTAAAATGGCTAATCTCAGAATAATAAAAAGAACAAGTACTAACAAAGAAGTGAAGAAATTAGTACCCTCATAAAAGGTCACTGAGTCAGAACTGACTTAATGGCAATGAGTCTGGTTTGGTTTGATCCACTGCTGGTGGAAGTGTAAAATGGTGCTGCCTCAGAAAGTAAAACACAGACTTGCCAAATGACCTAGCAATTCTACTTCTAGGTATAGCCCAGAAAAATCGAACTCAGGGACTCAAAAAGGTAACGGCACACCAATGCTCACAGCAGCATTACTTATAATGCCCAAAAGGCAGAAAAACAAAATGTAGTATATGGATAAAAGGTAATATTATTCAATCATAAAAAGGAATGAAGTTCTAATGCACACTAAAATGTTGATAAGCCTTGAAAACATTATGCTAAGTGAAACAAGTCAGACATAAAAGGACAAATACTGTGTGTTATTCCCTATACAAAATATCTAAAATAGGAAAATTCACAGAGCCAGAAAGGTGTCACCAAGGGCTGGAGAGAGTAGAGCATTGGGAGTCACTGCTTAACAGGTGCAGTTCCTGCTCGAGGTGATAAAAATTTTGGAAAGAGATAGTAGTTAGGGCTGCACATTGTGAATGTAGTAAACATCACTAAATTTTACATTTAAAAATGGTCAAAATGACAACTTTTGTGTTATATATACAACTTAAAAAAAAAAGGGCCAGAGAAGGACAAAGCCCACCCAGCTGTCTGTGATCTTCCTTAAGGCTCTGATGCAAACCAGACTGCTCAGAAAGGAAACCAACACTCCCTGGATGGGAGTACCTCCCACTACCTTCCTCAGAAAGCCCTGATTTCCAGCCCTGGGTTCAAAGTCATGTCCTCATAGGTCCCTCCTCTAAGCAACTCACCAGGAATTTATAGGAAGCATCCAAGTAACTCCAACCAAAATTTTTCCTTAAGTTTGTTTCTTTTCCAATTATAAAAGTAAAAGATGCTTAGTATAAATAACCTGAGATACATAAACAAGAAGAAAATCATTCAGATAATGTGTCATTTTTAATATACAGCATATATTCTTATGGCCTTTTCTCTATTACATACTTTTTGTTCAATAAATATTCGTCTACTGATTGACTAGGGTAGCAGGCACTTGGGACACAAAGTAGCAACTCAGTTTCCCTCCCTGTGAAGCTTACTCTCCAGAATGGGCAACAGGAATGCCTATCTAGAAAGCCTAAGTTGTTGTTGTTGTTATGTGCCGTCGAGTCGACCCCGACTCATAGCGACCCCTCCTTGGGTTTCCGAGGCAGTATCACTACGGAAGTAGGATTGCCCAACCTTCCTTCCGAGGAGTGGCTGGTGGGTTTGAACCGCCAGCCTTCTGGTTAGCAGTCAAGTGCTTTAGCCCCTATGCTACCAGAGCTCCCCCTACTAAGAGAGGAAACTAAAACACTATTAACAGAGGACTTAATCAATTCTGTAAAAGTACTTTAAGAAAAAAAAAAAATGCATGTTTAAGTGAAACAAGCTAAACACGTATATGCCATCTATGGAACTCTCAGAACGGTCAAACCGTAACAGCTACAAATACAAAAGAAATCTCATTCACAATAGTCTCAAAAAAAAAAAAAAAAAAAGAACCTAGGAAATATTTTAATGAGAAAATTATGTGATCTACATAAAAATACTGAGACATATTTTTTTAAAGGCTTGAATAAATGGTAAGATACACCATGATACACTAACGGGAAAATGAGATATTATAAAAGTATCAAACTTTCCAAAATTTATGTTTACTACAAGTAATAATAAAAATGCCACAAGATTTTTTGGAACTTGACAAAATGATTCCATGTTTCATCAGTAACAGTAAATAAGCAAGAAAATATTTTTAATTTTCTGAATAAAATTAGTAAACAAACTAGTTAAAGTAATTATGAACTTAGCAACAGAACTGGCAAGTTACTACAGAACAGAGTGACCTGAAACTGAACCCTAATATAACATGTAAAATAATTTAGTATTAAAAGAAGAAGAACTTTCAATAAATATTGTTGGAATAACCAACTGGTCCGCAATCTAATACCCCACAAATTAATTACAGACATATTAAAGATTTTTTAAAAAATCAAAAGACAAACAAAAAAATACGAGGAACTAAAATTAAGTTATTTATGAAACTTCTAAATGGGTAAGGGCTATATAAGCTTACAAGCTACCAGCAAAATCATGAAGGAAGTGAACAGATTTAAATACATAAATTGAAACCTCTACATTAGTTTTTAAAAGGCCCCTTCTAAGCCAAAATAGAAAGGCAAATAAGAAACTAAGAAAAAAATATTTAAAGTAAATAGTACAATGAAGTATTTTATCATATTTAGGAATTATACAAACAAAAAGAATGTGTCACTCTCTGATCGCTGTGTGGATATGAGCAGACCACTAACAAAAGGGGAATAATTTCCTAGAAACAGGGATGCTCTGTCAAAATGTTAGGTGGATTTCAAATAATTACATATACTAACAAACTTACCTCACAGAAAGGCTTATCTATTTCTCTTCCCACCTATAGTGTATGAGACAGGCTACTTTCCCACAACCTCACAAACACTGTATATTAATCTTTTAATTCTTGCCAATCTCATAGGCAAAAATAAAAACGTTTTGTTTTAATATGCATTTCCCTGATTAGGAATGTAAGAGGTTACCACTACCCAAAGAATTTGGTCTTTGTCCTTGGTTACTGAGGGATGACCTCTGAAACCTTGGAATTTCTCTACCTTTTGAAGTATCTGTGATGAGGCCTCCAGACCAGAACCAGGATTTATGCTACTAAATGAGGTGGAGCTTGGCCAGGCCAGAAAGACCCATCTCATGATGTCAGCCAATGATCCAATCATCATACCTATACAATAAACCAAACTCACTGCCATCGAGTCAGATCCAACTCGTATCAACCCCTCCTTGGGTTTTCGAGGTGGTATCACCATCGAAGTAGACTGACCAACCTTCCTTCTGAGGAGTGGCTGGTGGCTTTGAACTGCCAGCCTTCTAGCATAAGGCTCCAATAAAGGCTCTGGACACGGAAATTCCACGGGCTTCCTGGCTGGTAAAAAACATGGATGAGTGTGGGAGGGTAGTGCACACGTTTTTAGGACATGGAAGTTCCAAGCTAGGGACTCTCCCAGACCTCATCCTATGCTCTCTTCATTTGTACCCTTTTTGTTATGATACATATGTAAGCATAGGGCCTTTCTGAGTTCTGTTAAGTCATTCTATTGAGATAGTGAATCCAAGGGAACAGTGGGAGCCAGCAGGTCAGAAGTGAGGGGGGCCCTGAGGACTCCTGAGCTTACAGCTGCTAACCTGAGCAAACCTTCAAATTTGGAGACAGCAGACTAGAAGTAAGGGAAGCCATGGGGAGCCCTGAACTTATGGTTGGTATCCTGAAGGAGTAGTAGGAAAACCCCAAATTTGTAGTTAGCAGGTCAGAAGTGATGGATTCATGGGGATTCATGGATCCATGCTTGCTGCTGGCACCTGAAGCCCTGTGCAGACTTGGCAGTCTGCAGGACTATGCTCTTTAGCTTGGGAGGTCTGACCTCGCTCTGGGTGGTGAGGGTCAGGGAAGACATACTCCATATGCCACTGATGTCCAAACTGGAACAGAACTGGTAATACGCTGCACTGAGATCTGACTACTCCTCATTTGGTATCCGACAACTGGGACTTGACGTTCCCCAGAAGAAGGTTAACCATCTTTATACATATTTACTGGCTATATTTTTTATGAAGAAACGAACTGTTCATTTTTCTAAGTGGCTTTCTTTTTTTTTTTAATAAATCTTTATAGGTGCTCTTTTTAGATTATCTTTTAATCCTTGACTTTATATGCTATGAAGACACTAGTTTTAAGCAAAGACTTATTTCAAGTAAGTTTCAAATCTGCATCCAAGTTTCACAAACTTTCATATCATCACATTGCTTCAAAATCAATGTGAATGTCATACAGAGAAATGAGTAGTGGAGTTTCACTGTGAAATAACATAGTACCAAACACTAGCTTGCCTGAATAATTCCAAATGACATTCAAAACCAAGGAAGATAATGGAGGGTTGAGTACTGCTGAAATGAGCTGAGCCAGCAGAGCAGCATTCTTGAAGAATGAGTTCAAGGGGACAATCTTCTATTGTACTAAATCACACCCTCTTCAGTGACGCCATCTGAGCGTGCCATGACTCAGGCTAATCGCTCAAAATTACATGCAAGATAATCTGGCCTCTCAGGTCTATTTCCTACCATTCTCTACCTTCTCTTCCAGGGGACCAGTCAATTCTCCAAATGGGCAACGCATTCAACCAGTGACTGCCCAAAATCATTTCTCTTAACTTCACCTAAAGCGACAGCACATTGCAATACATAAGATAGCTTCAGCCTTTAAAGATTGTTTTTTCTAAGTTATGTATTACTTTTAGCTTTGCTGTACCCACTTCACCCTCAGCCATCTTAGTCATTCTCCTGTGGCTGGGCAAGGCCAAACACACACACCACAAACTCGCACACACCCTTATGAGTTAAGAGAATACAAGTGCCAGCTGCCTAGAATGTAGCCAACTACCTTAAAAGTGCATTTATTCAGATTTGTTAGATGGCACAATCAAATAGATATTCTCATTATATTTTACATGTTTGAGAAATGCCTTGTGTTCAAGAAAGGGAAATCAAAGGCATCCAAATTGGTAAGGACAAAGTCAAACTATCCCTACTTGCTGATGATATGATCCTATACCTAGAAAACCCGAGACTCAGTCAAAAATCTACTGGAACTAACTGAGAGATTTAGATTGGTGGCAGGATATAAGATCAACATCCAAAAATCAGTTGGATTCCTCTACACCAGCAAAGAGATGGCTGAAAAAGAAATAAGGAAATCAATACTATTTACAACAGCTATCAAAAAATAAAATACTTGGGAATAAATCTTACCAGGGACACAAAAGACCTGTACAAAGAAAACTATAAAAAAAACTACTTCAAGAATCCATAAGAGATCTACATAAATGGAAGAACATCCCATGTTTGTGAATAGGAAGATTGAACATTGTGAAAATGTCAATTCTGCCCAAAGCAATCTATACATTCAATGCAATACCAATCCAGATTTTTTAAGGATTTGGCATTTTTTAAGGATATGGCAAAACCAATGACTAACTTCATATGGAAAGGAAAGAGACCTCAGATAAGCAAAGCACTATTGAAGAAGAGGGAGCTCTGGTAGCATAGTGGCTAAGACACTTGCCTGCTAACCAGA